GTAAGGGAGAATATGACAATGCAAATGCAAGTTAGGATTTTTTTACCCACTTGCATTATAAAGTGGTGTTTCTACACTGGTCACCAATGTAAAGGGGATTTACACTTACTACTAATGTAATAGGAGCATTCACAGTGGCCACCAATGTAAGGAGGGATTTACACTGACCACCCACTTTACTTACATTTGCAGAACAGGCTGATGGTAGGCTCACTAACCACAGTTGCAGGCAGGACTTTCAAGAATGTCCCCTCTTCAGTGGGAATCCTTCAGCAGAGGTGATGGTGGCTGGAACCTCAGGGGGCATAATATACATAGGAATGCCACCGCTATTTACATATGTATGCAACATTGCCGCTTTTATTTACATATGAATGGCAGTTATTTACCTGTGAATGTTGACAAGGTCTGCACACCAGTCATCTGTATATGGCAGAGCTGGGCAGCATAAGTGACAGCATTTTACACTGAGATATTGGGACATAGAGTGGGACAAAGATTTCAATGGACAAGGAAATGTAAACCAGGACAGTTGGCAAGTATGGGGCAGCTGCTTTGGGCCCCACAGCAATGACTGGCGCCCAGGGCAGCTGCGCCTTTTGCCTCTCCTTAAAGACGGCCCTGCTAGTAAGGGAGATGCAGGCTGACATCACCATAGGACAGCTGGACTCTTTCCTATGTTAATCTTAGATGAGACCTTGATGTCTTCAAACAGGCTTAAACTTGACAACAGGAATTGAAGTTGCAAAAAAGGCCTCAGGTAAGCTCAGCTGGGACCTTGATGCCTTAACACAGGCTTCTCTAACAACCCTGCCCCAGTTACAGAGCCCCAGCAGGACTGGATCTAGGGACAATGCACACTGCTGCCCAGGCTTCAGACTGTTTATGGGCTCTCTCTTCACCTTCTGGGCACAGCTCCCAGGGATTGCCTAGCGTCCCATAAATATTTAGTCTGCTTGTTCTGTCCTTCCTCCCACTATACTTCTAGAATCCTCTAGAAGTTGAGGGAAGTAACAGAACAGCAACATGTGAAACACTAAACAGCCCTAGATAATCAACCCCTGCTCCACTGATTACAGAGGAGCTAGCTAAATTTTCATAGCAGCCTACACTACACTTGGAAGGTGCTGCATTATGCTGGCCATCAACATACCATTTTTTGGCAGCTTTTACATTTTTATTTGAATTGTTTGCATTTACGGCATAGAAAACAATCAAAACCCGTCTAATAGAACCACTTCTTTAATTCAACACAGAAAACACAAACAACCAGAATAATGAAACAAAAATATTAACAAACACTTGGATTGAAGCATATGGGAGTACCATTACTAGAAATCTTTGGCAGACTGGTCTCAGGAAAAGACCATTTTCTTGGATTCTTTACCAGTTTGAAAAGAACCTGCTATAGTCAGTAGGATATTACCTTACTCAGATATCCTAGATTGTAAGCTCGAAAGAGCAGGGCCCTCGATCCCCTCATGTTTTGCATTGTTCTGTCCCCCATTGTAATGTACAGCGCTGAGCAAACTATTGGCGCTTTATAAATACTGTATAATAATAATAATCACCAGTCAGAAATGAAAGAGAAGCAGGCAGCCTACATTTGAATACTAGAATGTTCCAGAGATGCAAATTCTAGTGTTCTTGGATAAAGGTCTTTGTTGTTTGCTTAGGAAGTAGATGCCAGCACAAATAGCTGCCATCTTTTTGTGTAGGAGTGGTTGGCCCTCATTTACATGGGGTGATTACATCCATGCTCCATGCAGGGCTGTGTTTACCCACATGGGGATGCACAGGTGTTCCGTGTATCCCCGTATAGGTAGTCCCATTCATGTCCATCGCACGAATATAGCTACTGTACCCCAATATGACATCTATGTGGGTGCCGGTGCATATCCCCGAACTCACCCTGTGTGTGTTTTGGGGCGTGCACCTGCAACACATGGATGTCACATTGGGAGCAGCGACTGTGTCTGTGCAGCTGCTGTGTCCAAATAGACAGCTATGGGACTGCCCGCATGGGGATGCTCGCAACACCTATGCATCCCCATGCCGGTAAAACATGGCCCTTCATGGGGCATGAATGTAATCACTCCACATGAATGAGGCCTTAGGATGGCTGATCAAAAAAAAAACATATCAATGTATGGACAACTTTAGCGTTTTAATTTGGCATTATGGGAAGGGTTAGTTTTGGAACTACTACAAAAAGTGTTGTTGTTCAGGGGGCCTTAGTGTAGGAGCATCATTGTCCGTACCAAAGAATAAAATCATCTAAAGCTGCCCATATATGGCTCAGTTTTTTACATTCAGTCAGCAGACTAAACGAATAAAACAGAACCAATTCTCCATCCGCACATTTGAGGTGGATGTAGGAATTGGTGGACTCCCCTATGTCAGAATACACTGATCAGAACTGCAGCCTATGTGTAGGAGGAAATCCACACAAGCACAGGCAGAAGATGCAAACGTAGTGCCGTGGTTGGGATTTGAACCAATGACCCTAGTGCTGCTGGGTGGAAGTGCTAACCACTTAGACACTGTGCACTTTTACCAGGCTCTATGTTAACCCCTCAGTACTGCATGTTTTTTTCACTTCCAAAAATTGTGACAAAAAATGAGATCACCTAGGGGTGTCTGCTTTTCACAAAAAAGGGACATTTTGGGGGTTTTCGAACTGTTCTGTCATTTTTATTTTTAACAGACAGTAAGCCTAGGTTCACACATATGTGGTCCCAAATTGATCAGTTTTGGTGCAATCAAATTCTGAGTTTGGATGACATTGTATTGAACCGCAAAATCTGATCGCACTGCCCAGTGATCTGATCAACGGCATATATCTGAATGCCTTTCCCCCCTAAGGAACTCAATTTCAATACATTGTCATCTGAAAAGCACATCTAAAAATGCATATATGCAAGATTCATTTCCTATATGATACTAGCAGCCAGAATAGTTATTGAGCAGTGTTGGAACCCCCATAATGATCAATCTAAGTTTGATAAAACCAGCTGCTTGCTTCTTGGTTTTCTACATTCTTATAGTTCATTCTACAAGGTTATGGAGGGTGGTTGACCATTACTCTATGTACTTTATCACATAAATGTTTTGTTCACCGTGCTGCCTGACAAGCATTAGACCATATCTAGCATCGGTTGCTCTTCAGTTGCACTATGGGTGTCATCTTGTCATTAACTTTATATTTGAATGGTTCTTTTTCTGTAATATATCTGGTCACTACCAGTTTGGATATGTTGCTCGAAAATGTGAGCATTACTACCTGAAAATATTTGCCGTTTATACTTCCAGTTTGGGGAGGTCTGGAGTTAGCTTATGTTTTTGCAATTGTTATTTATGGAAAAATTAATAAGCATATTGAAATCTAAAAACACATATATGTGAACCAGGACTTAGAGCAGGGGTCTCCAAGCTTTCTAAGCAAAGGGCTGGATTACTGTCCTTCAGACTTTAGGGGGGCCGGAGTGGAAAATGTCCCGGCATCAGTGGGAGTAAACAATGCCCCATCTTTGGTGTTAGTGAGAGGAATTGTGCCCCATCAATGCTGTCATTGAGAGAAATTGTGCCCCATCAATGCTGTCATTGGGCCCCATTCCTGGTGTCATTGGGATGAACTGTGCCCCATCGTTGGTGTCATTGGTGGGAATTGTGCCCCATCTTTGATATCATTGGGAGGAATTCGTTGGTATCAGTGTATTAAATAGTGCCCCAAGGGCCAGATAAAGGCAAGCAAAGGGTTGCATCTGGCCCCCGGGCCGCAGCTTGGAGTCCACTGGCTTAAAGAAACAGTTTTTTTTCAAACATTTTTTACTTTTTTCCCCTTTATATTAAAAAAAAACAGAAGATAATAAATACCATCAAAAGCAAGCTCTGTCTGTCAGAAATAAATGATACAAAACTCATCTGGGTACAGCGATGCCAGATGGAGTACTTGTCAGTCAAACTATCACAGCACTGAAAACTGAAAAATGGCCTGGCAATGAAGTATTACTGTCTGGTAATCAAGAAGTTAAATAACATATGCAGAGGAAAAAAAATCATCCAAATCAAACAGACAAGATTTATCTAACTTTTAAAGTGCAGGTTAACATTGTGGAATTTGGATAACTTTCCTGTGATTTTTATGCACAAGGCACTGTATTTTTATTGATAATAAAATAATATTATTACACGACTGATATGGTCAAGCCTCCCTTCTACGTTAAACTGGTCCAGGAAAATAAAGAGGGACATATCCCATCTCTTTTCTGTTTAAAAGAAAAAAATGCATTCTGTTGTCCAAGTAAAGAGAATTTGGCTATCTGTTGATCAAAGCTACAAGGGCCGGAGCTCTGCACAGTTCACATGTCTGCTCTGATGCCTCTATAACAACTCTGAGCATTTCAAGGAATATATTTTTTCCAGGCCTGAGATCAAAGGCCTGCTAACAAGTGTGGTAGGTTACAGTGTAAGGAGTTTTCAAAGAACCAGTCTTGGATTGTTTTTGTATCTACAGCATGTTATCACAGGGAAGCCCCTTTCTGAGGTGTTAGAACAACAATGCTACCCAAGCATTAACCTAAAGTAGACAGCAAATTATCATTTTATTTTTCTGCCGTCCAGTGCCCGGGCAGATTCTTAAAGTAAGAAAAAAAAAGTCCTGTTTTCAGCAGAATGGAAGTAGCCAGACATGAGGCGCCAACGTATCTTTGTGCCAAAGCAAAACAATGAGGAATATAATAACAACAAATGTGAGATACCCGATTAAACTCCTTGTAGTCATACCCTGAGACAGCAACAGGCCAACAGGCCTCCAGTTTATCCTGCAAAATGCATTGGCTCTTTTATCATTTTTTTAAACGCCTTTGCTAAAATCATTATTCTCAGAATTTCAGAGGCTTGTCTGCGTAATGTCAAAACACAGACATATTTACTCAGCCTTTGATAAAACTTGAAAGGAAATTTGACATGAGAGAAATACCTGGGTTGTGATCGCGGACCTTGTTCTGAAAATGCTGGTTCCCGTAGTTCTCTGTTTTATATACTTTCTGTCCAGGGGTGGACTGACAACTCATGGGGCCCCCGGGCAATAGGGGATCATGGGGCCCCTGTGTCCTTGCCCAAACTCAAAAAAAAGCCTATGAAAAAGGTACCAGGGGCATCTCATGGGGCCCCCTACTGACCCCGGGCCCTCAGGCAATGCCCAAGTTTCCAAATGGTCAGTCCGCCCCTGTTTCTGTCTTTATCCCTCATAGTTAATGCAGGTTGTTAGGTAAATGTAGTTAGCTCCTCTGTAATCAATGGTGAAGGGGTTGATTGTGCTGGCCTACTCAGTGGGGTTGATTTACCAAAACTGGAGAGTGCAAAATCTGGTGCAGCTCAGCATAGAAACCAATCAGCTTCCAGGTTTTATTGTCAAAGGCTCATTATTGAACAAGCTGAAGTTAGAAGCTGATTGGTTACCATGCAGAGATGCACCAGATTTTGCACTCTCCAGTTTTAGTAAATCAACCTCATTGTCTCATAGCCTGGTGCTCTGATTACTTCCCCCTGCATTCTAAAGGATACTAGAATTCTAGTGTTAATGAACAGAGTAGGCAGCCTTAATATTTATGGAAGATTGAACCAATCCCTGGGGAGGCATGCCTAGTACGTGACTGGAGAGCCCATAAATCATCTGAGGCCTGAGGCAGGGGGAGAGCGTTCCTGGGTCTAGTCCTGCCAGAGGAGACCCCTATGCAGGGGCTCTGCCCCGGGGCAGGATCATTTAGAATACATTGAGGTCCCAGCTGGAACTTTAGCTGGTGGGCCTATTCACAAAATCAGGTCCAGGAGCCAGCTTAGGTCTGGAGAAGTTGCGGGAAGAGTGTCCAGCTGTCTTATGGTGGTGTAAGTCTGTGTCTCCCTCACTGAAGAGTGCCCAGTAGGTATTGAAAGGAGGCAACCTATGATCCTGTGGCATTGTGAGTAAGTGACCTAAGTGTGGGACCTTAGTGACTGTATGTTGCTCCTGAAAGGAAGACACCTTTTAACATCAGCGAGTTGTGTGGGACTTTTTGGTTCAGCTTAGAAAGAGAAGAGTCTTCAGAGAGTTCAGTTCTCCAGTTTTGGGGAGTCCCATGCTCCCCTATGTCCATCCAAGCTCAACGTTATAATAAAACAGAAAAAAAGGCACCCCTAGACTGCTCTATTTGAGCCAGTGGGAGAATGGAGAGAACACTGTGTGCTTGGCTGTGTGTACTAAAACTGGGAAAAAAAGAATCAAGTTCACCAGCATCTCCTTAGGGGGTGTGCTGCACAAGCCAGTGGCATCACATTAAAAAGGTCCTGAACTAGGCTCACAAAGCTAAACACACCAGGTTAGGAATACTTACTTTCAAATAAACTGTCAGTAATTTTCAGTTGAGTCCAGTTAGATTTGAAAATTAAAGTCACTTGGCCTAAATAAAGGTACCCATTGTTGTGTTAAAGCTTTTGTGAATTGAGTCCCTTGTCTTTGTATGGTGGTGGCCATCTTGGTAGAGGCAGAGCTTTTCTTCCTAATGTCAGAGCCATCCCTTTGATGAATGGTAATCTGATAATTGGTGGGGTAATATTCAAGGAGCAGCAGTATAGGCAAATAGGATAAAATTATATTAAATAATTTTTTTTTCAGACAATAAAAGACATGTTATACTTATCTGCTCTGTGCAACGATATTGCACAGAGCAGCTGCTTATCTCTTCTTTGGTGGTTCCCCCCACCGGCTCTGTACATTCCTTCTTCTGAGGGACCCCTCAGTAAGCCATGTGCTAAGGGGGCACTTTTGCAGGTGTGCTCCCGAGCTGAGCTGTGTGGGTCCACAGACGCACACAGTGCCGAAAAGCCATGCCTCCACTTCCTCCTGCTTTTCCTCAAAGGGGTTTGACTGACAAATGGCTTCCTGTATCTTCTGTGAGACCTAGAAGAGAGGAGAATGAGGCTGCAGGCAGGACAGCCCGGGACCAATGGGAAGTGTCATATAAGTGTTTAGGGTTGGGGAGGAAGTTAGGTTTTTTTTTTTTTACCTTAATGCAGGGAATACATGAAAGTAGAATTTTAGGCCCATTCTGTGTCCCATTGAGGAGATTTACCTTTGCTTCCTGTCCCATAGCCATACAGGAAGTGAGAGGAAAGCCCTAAAAATTAAGGGAATTACGTGGGGACCTCCAGGTCAGTAGAACTAGTGTCCCCACTAGAAAATTTCCCCTTTATTACTTTTCTGGGGACAACCCAAAATTTGGGATTTTCTTTTACATTCACTTTTGATGATAATGGTAAACAGGACAAATAGAGAGGGTGAATTTCCCTAACAGGGGCACAGACAGCAATAAAACCTGAGAGGTGTTCTAATCCATCTCCATTCTATCCAAAACTAAAAAAAATTGCCTTTAGTTATACTTTAAGGTAAATACCTTTAGAGTGTAGAACGACTTTAAACAAAAGCAGGGAGATCTTTGCACTGCAGGTCCTCAGATATAAGTTCCTCTGCAGCAAGATGAACAGTTAGCAGTACCAAATCTTACCCCAAGTCTTGTGATACTATCAGCAGAGGCACGGTTCCATAGCTTGATAGGGTGAAAAAGACACAAGTCCATCTAGTTCAACCAATAGGAATAATAAATAAATAGAAAATAAAACTGCCATATACAGTACCCTATACTCATAGTTAATCCAGAGAAAGGCACACAAAGCCTATAAAGCATGGTCCAATTTGCTCTGGAGGGGGGGAGAGTTTCTTCCTGATCTACCGATCTACTGAAGGCAATTGGATCAGCAATTTCTGGTATTAACACATATGCTATAGATCAGTGATGGCGAACCCGTGGCACGCGTGCCACAGCCGGCACGCCGAGCCTTATCTGTGGGCACGCCAGGAGAATCCAGCGGCGCGCTGTCTTCCCGGCTGTAGTGTGCGTGACAGCCGGGTCCCAAGTGCGCATGCACAAGAAGCAGTGCTCTTTGTGAATGGTAAGGCGGTACCTGGGACACATGACAGATCCCAGAAGCCGCCGGACCAATCACAAAGCGCAGCGCTTCTCGCGCATGCGCACTGGGCATCCGGCTGTCCGCCCACACTACAGAAGCCGGGAAGACAACGCGCGGCTGGATAAAGGAACAGGTAAGATAAAAAAAAAAAAAAACTCTGCGGAAGTAAGAGCGGGTACCTGTCAAATTCAGGTACCCGCTCCCCCTCCCTCCCCCAAAGGTCAGCTGGTCATCCCCTGTGCTGTCCGCAGTCTCTGGTCATCCCTGTGCTGTCCGCAGTCTCTGGTCATCCCTGTGCTGTCCGCAGTCTCTGGTCATCCCTGTGCTGTCCACAGTCTCTGGTCATCCCCTGTCCGCAGTCTCTGGTCATCCTGTGCTGTCCGCAGTCTCTGGTCATCTCCTGTGCTGTCCGCAGTCTCTGTCATCTCCTGTACTGTGTCCGCAGTCTCTGGTCATCTCCTGTACTGTCCGCAGTCTCTGGTCATCTCCTGTACTGTCCGCAGTCTCTGGTCATCTCCTGTGCTGTCCGCAGTCTCTGGTCATCTCCTGTGCCGTCCGCAGTCTCTGGTCATCTCCTGTACTGTGTCCGCAGTCTCTGGTCATCCCTGTACTATGTCCGCAGTCTCTGGTCATCCCTGTACTGTGTCCGCAGTCTCTGGTAATCCCTGTACTGTCCGCAGTCTCTGGTCATCCCTGTACTGTGTCCGCAGTCTCTGGTCATCCCTGTACTGTCCGCAGTCACTGGTCATCCCTGTACTATGTCCGCAGTCTCTGGTCATCCCTGTACTGTCCGCAGTCTCTGGTCATCTCCTGTACTTTCCGCAGTCTTGGTCATCCCTGTACTGTCCGCAGTCTCTGGTCATACTCCTGTACTGTCCGCAGTCTCTGGTCATCCCTGTACTGTCCGCAGTCTCTGGTCATCTCCTGTACTGTTCCGCAGTCTCTGGTCATTCTCCTGTACTGTGTGTCCGCAGTCTCTGGTCATCCTGTACTCGTCCCTGGTACTGTACTGTTGTCCGCAGTCTCTGGTCATCTGTGGTCAGTCTCTGGTCATATCCTGTACTGTGTCCGCAGTCTCTGGTCATCTCCTGTACTGTCCGCAGTCTCTGGTCATCTCTGTACTTGTCCGCAGTCTCTGGTCATCCCTGTACTGTGTCCGCAGTCATCCCTGTACTGTGTCCGCAGTCTCCTGGTCATCTCCTGTTTACTGTCCGCAGTCTCTGGTCCTCCCTGTACTATGTCCGCAGTCTCTGGTCATCCCTGTACTGTGTCCGCAGTCTCTGGTAATCCCTGTA